ACGAGTGAAAGAACTAAACTTACATGAAACTTCCGTTGGGTTGCTTTAAAGTCAAGCTTCAGTTTAAGATTGACCCTGTAATAGATGTAAAACATGTGATGGAGCATTACTAACCTGACTCAGATGGTTTGTTTCACCAAACCATCTAGGAAAGCTCCATTGGAAGCCATTTGCAAAAGTATTTAAAAAATACTTGGCAGGTGATTGGATCAATCTGTCTATCACCTTCTATCATGGGCCACTTCTGATTGGTTAACAATGGCTGGTACATGTGGAGCACAGCACTTCTGATTGGTGTGGATGACTGACACACAAGAAAAAAAGAAAGAAAAAAAATCGATTAAAATCAATGTAAAGTAGTGGTTAAATTAAGCAAAATTACAAAATATTTCTTTCTTTACTCATATATATTCTTGCAATTATACATTTTTTAAATGAGTATTAACAGTATTTGTTATGTATTTGACAGTTATATATAGCCATAACAAAAGTATTTTTTAGTAAAATTACAGAAAATGCAGCTAATTTTGCCAACAGAAAATCATTTATTTGTACGGTTAGTTTTGTTAAATTCACATTTAAAAACGGCTAAAAAACAGATAAATAATGTATTCCATTTCTACAGTTTTTTTTTTGTTAAAATACATGACACATTTCAATAAACCGTTTATTCTTGTAAATTGAATATGATTTCCTGTAATTATGAAATACAATAAAAAACTGTAATGTTTTTGGGGGAAAAACTGTAAAAAAACATTTTTTTTTACAGTGTACCGAAGTGGAAAACGTCTGTTGCAAAGAAATTAGAAAGGTAGCCTAGCTGACAGTTACAACATTATGTAGCTAGCTGAAAACACCAACAGTAGCACACAACATTATATGCCAAGATATACACCATACATATTTGTCAAGTCAATAGACTATTATATGCCCTTTTATTTCTTCCCTAGCATTGAATGTTTATTTTGTAAACCTTGCCATAGTTGGTTTAATTGCTAAACGTGTTATTTTACAAATATCTTACCTTCCTATAGGTTGTAACACGAATGAGCCAAGTCCCAGCTCCTATTATGTGCATGGTACACCACCCAGGACTAGAGCCAAACTGTCTCAACCCATACACCCTGCAGAACCTCCATAACATGTACAGATTCGATTATGGACCTTTGAGGCGTAGAACGGAAGAAGAGTAAGTTATTCTTACCTGTAATAAACTACTACTGTGTTTGATGAAAAATCAAATCATGGTTTGCTATATATGAATGATATGTTATAGGAGCAAATAATTCAGGGAAGAAAGGCTACTAAGTATTTCCATCAAACTTTATTTTTAGAAATGTACAAAATGTACATATATACACTGTATATCATCCATTCCTCCCCTTATAGGCGTTTTCGGCATCTTGCCTATCGCAGCTTTGTAAGGTGTCCGGTGCCTTGCTCAAGGGCACCACGGCAGGGCAGGAGGTGAACTGGGACCTCTCCAAGTAGAAGTCCACACTCCTTATTTAGGTCTGGTCGGGGACTTGAACCGGCGACCCTACGGCTCACAGTCCAAGCCCCTACTGACTGAGCCACTGCCGGATTAGGCTAGCAAGAACATGTTTATAATTGCAATCTTATACGGTCATTCATTGTAGCTGGCATAAAAACAATGTTTTCCCTAGCAAACTCATGTCTAGCTCTTGGTAGCCTTCTTTTTTAGCTCGGTAGCATACACGCTAGGAACGCCAACTATAATGTAATTAAAGGTCCCATGTCATGGCCATTTCCACTGATCATAATTCCATTGTTGAGGTATACTAAAATAGATTTATACTGTGCATTTTTCCAAACTCACATTGGTTTCGCATACAGCATCTCTGTAAAGTGTGTGTATTCAGCAGTATTCACTCTCTCCACTAAACAGCTCGTTGCAGCTCTTGCTCCCCCCTCCCTGTGAGCCTAGTGTGCTCCGATTGGTCAGCTCGGCCACTCTGTTCTGATTAGTCAACCACCAGAGAGGCTCCGCCCATGTCTAACAGTGCTTTTTTCGGCTCGCTCTCAGCGGAACATCAGTCTTATAATGGCCTCGGTACAGCCGTATATTTTATACGCTAACTAACCGAACTGTACCTACAACTGTTGTTATAGAAGAGTAAGTTATTTGTACCTGTAATAAACTACTACTGTTTGATGAGAAATCAAATCATGGTTTGCTATATATGAATGATATGTTATAGGAGCAAATAATTCACGGAAGAAAGGATACTAAGTATTTCCATCAAACTTTATTTTTAGAAATGTACAAAATGAACATGTGTAAATATACATATATACACTGTATATCATCCATTCCTCCCCTTATAGGCGTTTTCGGCATCTTGCCTATCGCAGCTTTGTAAGCGGCTGCCGGGGCTTTTTCGGATGAGGCATCAGAGTGGTCATCCCGTGTGTGTGTTGTCCGCCAGATACGCCAGGAGTTTCCTGATCTGGCTGGATGAAATCAAATGCAAATCACAAAATATTAGATAAACTTAGTTGTTTTAGATTTGTTAGTAGTAGTTGTGGTAGGAGTGTGTATCTATCTAATCTATCTATCTAATCAACACAGTTAGCTTGCCAGCTAATATGCTAACCTACGTTTGCTAGTTGTTCAGTGTAATATGCCAATCTACTATGAACAACAGCTAGTCTAGGCTAGCAAGAACATGTTTACAATTGCAATCTTATACGGGTAGTCTGCTACGTTCGGTCATTCATTGTAGCTGGCATGAAAACAATGTTTTGTCTAGCTCTAGGTAGCCTTGTTGTTTCGCTATGTAGCATACACGCTATGAACGGTAGCTCGGTAGCATACATGCCAGGAACGCCAACTATAATGTACTGACCGTACGGTAAATCACCCGGAGTATACTGTCTATGAGTATTTCGTGTGTGATTGCAGACATTCTCCAGCTATGAGATACATGTAAGGCCATCTGCTAACATTGGAGTTGATATATGGAAACGCTAGCAACTTAGTTAGCCCAGTTAGCATTGCTCGCACACACACAGACACACACACTGCTGGAGGAGCAGACAGGCTTGGCGATAAAGCTAGAACAAGCGAAACTCATCCTGAGCACACACAAACACTCACAGCCGAAGTAAAAACAATAAGTGTGGCTTGATATTGAGTAAGAAAAAGGTTTATAACGCTGTGAGCATGGGTCTGCGGAGAGCATTTACAGTACAACGTAATAGTCCGAAAAACGTTTACCCATTTAAACAGTCGTGGTAGAGACCTTGTTTGTTTTAAAGATCATAAATACACAAACAACAATGAATACTTACAGGTTGTGTACCCGAACTCCCGCTGGTCCAAACAAAGTAGGAACAGCATCGTTCTTCAGTGCCCTACGCTGTACATATCCGGCATGAATCCTGAAAGGTTTTGGGAAGCTTTGTTACGTGAAAGGCTGGCAGAGGGTGCGGCCATAGCTCTGGGCGTGGCTACTGGCCATCCCTACGTCACGATACCCAGGAAGTAAACAATGGAAAATGAGAAATCTCCAATGAGGCGTTTTGGGGAGGTATTTACTGTGTTAGAGTTTTACTTGCTACAGGGTGTATTTTTAGGGTTTTTGACTCTGCAGACCGTTTACATGCATAAAAACCTTCATAACACACAAGGGGACGGGTAATAACCGGAAAAGCATGACATGGGACCTTTAAGTTTCGCGACTGACCGTACGGTAAATCACCCGGAGTATACTGTCTGTGAGTATTTCGTGTGTGAATGCAGACATTCTCCTGCTATGAGATACATGTAAGGCCATCTGCTGACATTGGAGTTGATATATGGAAACGCTAGCAACTTAGTTAGCCCAGTTAGCACTGTCAATGGCAATTAGCAGCCCGAAAAACGTTTACCCATTTAAACAGTCGTGGTAGATACCTTGTTTGTTTTAAACATCATAAATACACAAACAACAATGAATACTTACAAGTTGTGTACCCGAATCTCCCGCTGGTCCGAACAAAGTAGGAACAGTATCGTTCTTCAGTGCCCTACGCTGTACATATCCGGCATGAATCTCTGAAAGGTTTGTGAAGCTTTGTTTCGTGAAATGCCGCACACACAGTACAATACCGGCTCGAACATCTGAAGGATGTCGTGGTTCTGCCCTCGGTAAGGCATGAAGATTTCCCCTCACAATACAGGACACAGACCCTCGTTGGCATGACTGGATACAGTTTTGAACTGAACCTGAGCTTCCAACAGTATTATATGTTCTGCTGGCAGAGGGTGTGGCCTCTGGGTGTTCACACGTCACAGTACCCAGGAAGTAAACAATGGAAAATGAGAAATCTCCAACGAGGCGTTTTGGGGCAGCATAGACAGGTCTTTTCTGTGTTAGAGTTTTACTCGCTACAGGGTGTACTTTGAGGGTTTTTGACTGCAGACCGTTTACATGCATAAAAACCTTCATAACACACAAGGGGACGGGTAATAACCGGAAAAGCATGACATGGGCCCTTTAATGGTGCATTTTCGTATATTTCTGCTCAATGTTTTATTCATTTGTTCTCATTATTATCAGTTAGTTTCTAGCAAGTGAACATGGTGGTTGATTTAGTTTCTAAAAAGCTGGATATGTTTTTCAGAAGTTGGTAAATAGAGCTAAAAGAAGAGACAATATCGGACCTACATTTACCAAACTGTCTGAAATCAAAAAATGACCTGTGATGAAATTTAAACTAGGACTCGTATCAAAGCATAAGACATTCGTAAATGTTTGGATAATTTACTACCCAGGTACAACTATTGCCATTTTTATGGAAATATCTCAACATGCAAGGGCATCCCATAGAGCAAAAAAGATAAAAAGGTAACAAGCTAACACTGAGAAATGAACAAACAAGTGGTCATTTAGATTTTCATTTAAACCTAAGTACAAATGTTGATTCTCTGAGTAATGTTGTTGCAGTGTTACCTGACTAAATCTCTCTCTGTATCCCCCATTTGTGTCTCCCAGACTGCTCAGACGGTCCTGGTGGTGGTGGTGGTGTTCTGCATCTCTTGGCTCCCTCACCACATCGTCCACCTGTGGGCGGAGTTTGGGGAATTCCCGCTGAACCAGGCCTCCTTCGTGTTTCGCGTGGCCGCCCACTGCCTGGCGTACAGCAACTCCTCTGTGAACCCGGTCATCTATGCCTTCCTGTCGGAGAACTTCAGGAAGGCCTACAAGCAGGTGTTCAAATGCCAGATCGGCACCAGTGACTCCCCGCTCAACGACCTCAAAGAGATTCGCAGCAAGGCGGACACCCCACCCTCGACTAACTGCACCAACGTCTGACATAGGAGGTGGGGATGGTTGGCTCAAATTGAATACCTACCATCCCACTGAAACTCAATGTAAAGTCATAATGAAAGAGCCATAGGACATGAGTTGGTGTGTGGACTTTTTGCTCTAGGTAAGTGTGGTTGCTTGGATATTGCTGCAGCTATATTGTTCCACATAAGCGCTGTTCATTATTGTACCAGAGGAGATGAAGCCACTGTAGCTGCAGGGCATGATTACTCCGTCTTTGATCAGTGTCTGTGTCTCTCTTTCATAATAAACTGCGGAGTCCTTCACCCACAAAATAACCCTCTCTCTAAATAAAACTGACTTTGATTGGAGACAGAATTTACTAAAGGTCAAAATACAATACCTATGAGGTTGTTTTACTTTCGGACTTCAAACATATTGAAAATGTAAATTGGCAGTCTTCTTTCAAGATTATTATTGCATTGTGTAGCATCATCATCTGCTGAAGTACAACTGTTGTTGGTCTTTTCTGTGTGAAGAACAGCATTTTGGGCATTACACTAGGGCACTGCTCCTACTACTAGACTCCTGGTACTAGGATGGGTTAAATGCAGAGGCCAAATTTCACTGTGTGTGCTGTGTGCTCTGCATGTGTGACCATTAAAGAGGGTTTCATCCCTCCCAATTCTTCTTATTGTTCTTGTTCTTGTTCTACTCAGTGAGCTTTTACAGAATTGTGTTCTTTGAGGTATGAGTAAGAGATTACAACTTGAAATTCAGAAAATACATTTACTAAACCCAGTAACAAAATTGTGTTTGAACAGGACTACAGACGCTGGTTTCACAGAGTTATGACTATAGATATAACTAGTAGTTGGACATCAGGTAGGTGTCTAAATTCATCCCTTGGATAAAGCTGTTTAGTTGTTGACTCTTTTAAAAAGGCCACTATCGACTTTCCATCAACTCTGGATTAATTAAGACTTAAAAACATAGCTGCCCGAGAAACCATTGCTGTGTCTCAAATCGCATACTTCTGTACTTACAATTGCTGTTTTGTATAGGTGCGTCCCAATGCAAAGTATGGCAAAATGCAGTTTACTATGAGTACCTGGAATGTTAAAATGTTGTTAGTGTGGAACGCTGGACACTTCTCGACAACAATCTCCATCTTGGCTTTGTAACGGAAGTTACTAGACCCGCCACGATTGGGGTTGCTCCAGTAAAAAACAGCACTATACAAATAAAAGTAATGGGCCTACATATTTTTTATTGTTTAAGTAATAATAATAATAATGATAATATAATAATAATAACTATTATTACTATTATTATTATTAAGTAATGTACCACTTTACTTGTGCCAAACAGAAGCCATTGTTAATTCCATAGGGTTAGTACAGTCTGAAATAGTTTGGTACCGTGAAAAATAACTTGGATATCTAGCTAGCTAGCTAGATTTCCAAGTTAACAGAGACGATCGTTAACAGAGAAAATCGCCACTACTGGTGAGGGACCAGCAGCCATTTAAGCCATTTAAGAACACACTATATATTACAAATTCATGCACTGCATTAGTGTTTACAGTGTACGACATGCAGTGTATTAAGGGAAGTATACACATTTGTCAAACTGCCTAGCCCTCCTTGCTTTAGTAGGATGAAATCTCAATGTGACCAGTAACACGACTGGCTGGCAAGACAAGGGCTAGGTTATTTAGCTAACTTATCAATAAGAAGTCATGTTTCTATTCCATTCTCAAATGCGATTGAAGTGCGTTTTTATCAAATTACTTTGCAAATTGTAGTTTTGTCAGATATTGTCGGACTTTGCACTTGGCCCATAAACAGAGTAGATGAAGTAATGTGCACATTGGAACAAAACAACTCGCCATGGCCATCTAACCAATCTACAATAGATACATGCCTTATGGAACCCCTCCAAACTGTAGGTTGGCCCCTTGTTAAACTACAACAACACACTTTTTTATTTCTACACAAGTACAGAAAATACTACGTGTATGTGTGGAGTTTTGGTGTTGTCAAAAAGTATAATGGTAATGACAGTAATGTATAGACTAATGGATAAAATGTTAAATAAATAAAAAGTTTTATGTTAATTGCCCAACACTGCTAAAAAAGGTTGCATCTGTAAATATGGAGAAAAAACACCATACCATTGCCATTGCATTAAAGCCTGTATTTTACATTTGGTTGTCAATACTGAGAACCAACGAAGCAGATTTTCACATATGCCTGTAAAAGCTTCACTATGCTATGTTAACAGTTTTCAGATTGTGTTGTGCTGTATGAGCCGGAATGTTGGGCATATACTGTAAGGCTCCATGCTTGTTTTGCACCCTTTCTGGTAGCCATCTTTCCGACCATAAAAAAAGAGATCTTGTGGAAATAAATAATTCTGATGTTGCTTTGTGTATGTGATGTGCCAAGCCTCCACCCAGCAGCTTTACCTCAGTTTCACAACATCATTATAACTATGTGAGGCCTTTAACCTGGACCTACAGTGTCACATATTTTGGAAGTTGTGGACTTGAAGGAATGTGCCGCATCCATAATTCGTTTTTTAATTATTGCTGCTGAATGGTGTGAAACACAAATTAAGGGTTGTGTTCTGAGATATAACCACTTAAAGAGCACATGAACAACATATTTTTTGTTAGCAGAACACTTTCAATTACATCTCACAGATTAATGTAATTTATTAACCATAAGAGGTATCAGTATAATATGTACATATAGGGGAGGAGGACAAGTTTCAGCTCTTTTAGAGGGACTTAGAAATAAATAACACTATTACATTAATAAAACACTTTATATGGAAGCCTACAGAGGAAAGAGAGAAAAGAAAATCCTGTCAACCATATCTCTGGAAATAAACAAAAAATTATGTTTCTTCTCTACAGTAAGGACTTTTTTCTTCTCTTGGTGTAAGGACTTCTCTACAGTAAGGACAGGTGAAAAAATGTTTTTTTCACAAGGCTAAAAAATGACAGTTTTCTTTAGTTCCTTTTAATGTAGTAATGGATTACCCATTTTCAATGTTTGTTTGGTTATCATTGGTTTTATAATCCTAATATATATGCATCTTTGAACTTTCAGATTTTTTAAATCATTTTTGTTCTTACTGACACCCAAACAATAAGCCTATAGTGAAACAAAAAAGAAAATACAGTATGTTCAAATGTAAAAATCTCTTAATAACAAATACAGATATATTCTTCAGTGCCCTTAATTCCAAAGTGTTAATTTAAACTTTTCCAGTGCAACTTTCACGACATCATTTGACTTTGGGTGAAAATATTTCTTTTTTAATATTTACAGTAAATAGACTTTGTGAATACAGACACACATTGAGCATGCCCTCCATAAAGCTTGAACGATTTACATTTGTCTAGTTTTTATTCATTTATCGACTAAGAGGAAAATATTTGTACAGCGTTCAGTGCTTTATGTGTTTTACTGAGGTGGTCCTGGTGTGTCTTTTCAAACGTCTTTCCTGTATTGATTCAGTGTGTCGTCTAAATCAAATTATTTACCAGATGTTTAATCTGTCTATGCTTGAAAATGCAACATGTAAAAAACTTTGAAGGCTCTGGATGGTATTTTTAAATATATCAAGGCGATTGATTGTGTCTTTATGCAGTGCTACTGATATTAAATGATTATATTAACCTGTCTTGCATTTTCTTGAAAGAAAATATTTTATTTCTTTGTCACTATCTGCCTTTTTATTAATTCCTCTATTTTCTCACGAATGAAAATCTCAAAATACAATTTATGTCTAATTGAGGCTTTCACTTCTATAAAAGGAGCTTTTCTTCAGCCTCACTGACACATCAATCCTCACCTCCCTCACTCTCACAGTGGGATGTGAAAAAAGAAAGAAAATAGCACGGTAGGTTCCCACCAGTTGGGTTCCCCTCTGAGTTTTTGTGTATTACATTTCCTGGCATCAAGTCAACCCAATGATCTAAGAGGCCTGAGGAAACAGCATGTCCCATGGTGCCTTGTACTGTAAATATCTATAGCAACAAGGGGTCTTTTTCAATTAAATTAGCAAAGAATGGATTATAAAGATTAGATTATTTTTACATGGGAAAGATATGAACCAAAGCATATATGATGCTTTGGTTCATAGACACAGCGGTGGTATGCACATCCTCCACTGAAATAAAAAAACACAAGGGACTAGAAAATAAAGGATATGGTGTATAATGTGTACCTTAAATATGGCATGCATGTTTATTAGGGTTGCCAATCGATTAAAAAATGTAATCCCAAAAAATGTTTTTGATTCTCCATTGTCACGATTAATTATTTGTTTTGTAAATGGACATTTAAGGGATATTTTTTGTTTGTAATACCCTTTTAAACATGGGAGTGGATAAATATGCTTGCTTTATAGAAGATTAATCTTTGTCTGTCCTCCCCCCTACTTCAGCAATTTTGTCTTCATACGCGTTCTGTATCTTGTTCGCAAGGGTCGCCCTCATAGGCAGTTCATAAGCGCAGTCATTGGATGTGATGTGAATAGGCGCTTTCACACTGGAGTACTTTTCCCAGGGATAGTTCCAGGGACTTTCCTGGGGAGAAAAAGGTTCCAATTTCTGATTGGCTGGGCGAATTGCAAACCACGCCCCGTAAAACTCTGAAAACTTTTTTTGAAGCCGCCATTTTATTTGCTGGCATTAGCATTATTAGCATTAGCATTAGCCCAGCGCACTAATGGAGAGAGACTAACTTATGGCAACACAAAAGAAAACATGGGAGCGGTGGAGTGATGAGGAGGTGTTGGCGCTTCTGGCGATTTACTCGGGAAGACTCCCAGCAGCTTCTACTGAAGCCAGTCCCCAACTCCGGGGACTTCGGGTGGCAGTATACGCCATGAAGTTGTTTGCGGCCTGCCAGTAAACCCAAAGCAGAAGAAGAAGTGACGTCAGTGGCTCCCTCAGGGACTTATTCCGGTGTGAACGCGATCTACTAGATAGTTCCGGGGAACTAAGTTCCGGGAACTATTCCTGGGAAAAGTACTTGGTGTGAAAGCGCCACATTATTTCAAGCAGACCCTCGTCCTTCACAATGTTAATTGGCCTAAAGCAAGCCATTTTGCTATTGCTGTCAATAGGTTGTTGCTTGTGAAGTTGTCTCCATTGTAAACTATCGAGCGTGGTCTGCCATTGGTGAGGGGGAGGAGCAACCATTTGGCCAGCAAGTGGTTTTTAAAGGGGCCCTATTCTGCAAATGTTCAGGTTCATATTTGTATTTTGTGCCTCTACTGTGACATGTTTCCATGCTTTAATGTTCAGAAAGGTATTTATTTTTCTCATACTGCCTGTGATGCAGCTCCTCTTTTCACCCTCTGTCTGAAACCAGAGCCCAGTCTGCTCTGATTGGTTAGCTGGCCGGCTCTGTTCAGATTGGTTAATCGCTTAGAGATGTCCCGCCCCTTAGCCAATCACATACATTGTGTTGAAGCGCTAGCCAATAGAAGCACAATTGTTACATACTGATGCTGCAAAAGCTGATCTTTTTTGTCCCTGCAGTAGATTAGAAAGGAATTTACTTTTTTGTTTTTGTTTGTAAAATCTAACTCTTGAGGAACTGGGTCTATTGGCCGATAATATTTTCAAGCTGTGTTTTCCTTTCGTGTCGTTAATTTGGATTTGCTCATTGGGGGGGTGGGAATGTTGGGAGCGTAGATGTTTCAGTCTAGGTTCTAGTTTTTCCCATGATCTTCTGTGTTCCTATGTTGAATTTGATATGTCCCTTAAGAGCTGCTTTAGCTATTTTCCAAAATACTGATGGTGATATTTTTGGATGTCGACTCTCTAGACGTGATATGTTGAACCGCCAACTATTTGAGCAGTTTGGGATAATCTTTGTGGCCAACACATGTTTGTGATACTTACTATGTTCTGTTCAGCAGGATAATCTCGACATTTTAACACCACTTTTAGTTTTTTGGGTCATAAATGAAATCAGCAGAAATACAAAGCTAGCATTAGGCTATAAACGAACTACATCCCGGTCGCATTACTGCACGTCACCACTGCTAAGCTAAAGGCGTACTCGTGGTGGTGTGATGAGGTTTGGTAATTTATTCTGTCACTTGTAAGCAACAGCAGTTTTTTGGACACAAAAGCCTCAAACTTTCCTGAGTGTTATATGTCAACAAAACGTTAAAAAAGCTTATATTAGGCTTCTGACCACATACACATTCAAGAAACCGTTG